AAACACAGCCCCGAGCCATTCACCATGGAAACAATGCTCAGGCTTTGGATGACCCAGTCAAACGCATGCAGCCTACCTTCCTCCCACCTTCCCCCAATTTATCCCTTGTCTGCTTTCAGTCAGAATAAAGAAGGAACTTGAACTTCACTCTCACACATTCCTTCCTTTTAGTCTGATTATGTCTTGAAGAGAAAGCAAAAACCATAGGGACAATGCATGCATAAGGCAATCATACTACAAGGAGATAGGCAAACATGGGTAGTAGTGGGATATACAGATGATGTGATTTTACCTGATGGTTCCCTGCCTCCAGAACTCCTCCTGAGTTCCGGCAGAGCTCCCGCAATCGATGGGTAAGCTCCCTACAGAGCCTTGACGCGGACTTACGGGTTGCAATCCCGCCTGCCGCCTTCCTCTCGTAACCAAGGACTAAACTGAGAGTGAGAAGGACAGAGGGAGATGGTTTGAGACTCTCAGATACAAGAGGGGTGCTCTCAGGCTTACTGGAGAGGGCCTTGTAATCTTCAGCTCCTGAGGGCCCCGCAATGATGGCCAACCTGCTTCAGCTTGGTCAAGCCCTGAAGTCAAACTGCTGAGGTCAGCCTCCTGAGACGTCCTAGTTGGCAACAATAACCCTCCTTACCCTTGTAACAGCACCCTTCTCACATCTCAACCAGTCCTTTGAGCCTCAATACTCCTCCTTAAGTTGATCGCAATTGCTCCGCAGTTTGCAACAGTTCTCAGTTACAGCAGTAATTCTCAGCGGTAAACAGCAACAACATCAATCGATCAACACTAGCCGCAGTCACCCGATGTAGCATACAGTAGTGGTCAACAACAATCACAACCCATCAGTAGCTCCAACGGCACACCGCGGTCCGTAGCCCACAGTCCGTGCCCAGCCTGTGGCCAACAACAGTTCTCACATACAGCCCACGGGCACAGCAGCGGCAGCCTCCCGTAGTAAGACTGTGATCACTCGGTACTTCAAAACAACTGTACACAGGACAGCGTGACAGTCCACAGCGAGCTCAGCAACTGCTGTAGCCGGCACGTAGCTGGGGCAAGCATGGGGCGCACAGTAGCAGTAGTCTGATAGAAAAGACCGTCAGTTCAATAACCCTTGTTGTACAACCCCGACGGCTTGCTTACACAACAACCTTCAACGTTGCAGCAACCACGACTTGATGCACAAAAATTGCCCGTGCTCACGCCCAACTTTTCTTTCACTATCCCATCTGYCGAGGAGGGCTACACYACGGCCTACAGATAAGCCTTCATCTGCACAGTTTACCCCCAGGTAAGCCGCCTGTTCCCGCTATTGCCCGCTSCTTACTCGCGCACTGCAGCACTCAGGCATGCTTAGCTCACTGGCTGCTGCCCATAGCTGTGAGCACTGTGCACCTTCGTCGAATCGAGCATGGAGCACTCARCCKTTAGCCCCAKACTCTGCYAGTTTCGCTCTTCCAAAACGTGGCCCGCTTTGYAGCCGGTCGGTGTGCAATTTGGGTTYCGTGGTTCCCGCGTTCACCCCCTGCAGTAACTCGACCAAGATTGACTGAGTCTCCTACTAAAGTATCGKCACACACACCGTAGGCGATACGAGGTAAGTGCCTCGACTTYCCTGTTACACCGCCCGATCGAGTGGGCTACTTCAGACCGACCTTCCGGCGGAACAGGGCCAGGTACGTAGCATCTCTCTCTCTCTCTCTCTCTCTCTCTCTCTCTCTCTCTCTCTGCTGAAGTTACCTGCCCACAGACACGACCAGAGTAGGCGAAAGCTCGAAACTGCGGGGGGGGGAACGAGAAAAAACGAAAGGGGTGAACCTACCCCTGAACATGGAAAGATACACTACCATACTCGTGCGAGGACGAGATTCTAACCCCCGGGCCCAGTTCCCATCCGTTGCATCTCCCAACCTAGCCACTAATCCCGAGAACCAACGCTACCATCTGTTTCGCCCGGGGCCAAAACCCCGGGGTAACATCTTTCCTCGTTCGAATCCAATCGGAAACGAGAGAGATACTCGTTTCTTCCTCCCTTCCTTCTTCACCTCCGCCATAGCCCCACGGGCCTTCCTCTCTTACTAACTTTCGTTTTACTAATCCTCTTCTAAATCTATTAATCCTCTTCTAAATCTAACCCCGTCATTGAATTCGCAATACCCGAAAACCTCTAAAACGAGCCTTCTCTTGTTCGTTTCCATCAGGAG